ACAATTGTAAGCCTTTAGAGTTAACATGAACTCCTTTTTGAACATTTTTTTCTAATGCAGTATTACTAATCTCATTTCCTTTACATTTCATAGCTTTTGTTGCCCTTTCATTAGTTTTTTTAGCTGCAAGTATTTTTGGATTATTATCTTCTTCATCTTCATCATCATCAACTGGAGCAGGAAAATTTATTAAGGATGGATGTTTTTCCTTTAACTTCTAATTCATCTCTCAATGTTGTAAACATATAATCATAATGGTTTGTTTCTTTTAAATTAGTGAATGTATGATCAGCTTCAAAATTATCAAGTGTATACTGCAGCTCTGTGTCATTTTTTATGTTAATTGATAATTGAATGAACTTATTCTTTTTTGTTAAGATTGAATACCAGGAAGCAATAGAACCCATACTTTGTCTTCACTTTCTAAATCAGGATCCATGCCTTTAGGGGCTTTTAGCCATAATATGTATGAACTGTTTAAATCTTGATGTATTTCCATTGCATTCAATTTGATATGAATCATCACGAATGAAAAATTTTATTATGTTAGATATAACTATATTCTTTTACATATATTAATATATACATAAGAAATTAGAAAATTCCAAGTAAGGAATGTTAAACTTTACTAAGTAGTAAGCAACTTTAAACTAGTAATAATTTGGAGTGAATAACTTATATTAATGGAATAATACCTTTTACTATGGGATTAGTATGGTTTTTTGAAGAAATTAAAGGTTTTTACTAAATTATTTTGTTTGAAATTTTACATGAAATCAAAGGAGGTTCCACACTGTATGTGTCATTGGGGTGTGCGTCATATAAAGAATTTCCGAATTTACGTAAGGAACATAGTAAACATACTTAGGTATAAAGTAGTTATCATAAAATCATCATATTTATTGTATATATATTTAAAACAATAGATTTTAATTCGGCTTAGATATTTAAATAACATATAACTGATAATTTGAGGAGATAAATATAATGATTAAAATATGTGACAAGGATAATTCATGTAGAATATTTAATGTTTGGTATTAATTATTCTATTAAAAACTTTTTTATTAAATAAACATAAATAATATTAATTACAATCATTTTTAAACATTATAACTTGTTTTTTTTTTAAAATAATAATAATAAAAAGAAAAAATCTACACGAAAACTTTAAGTCCCGTTGCACTTGCATCAATTTGTGCTATTTCACAAACTGTACAAATTTTTCCTTTATGCTCTGTTAAATATGATGTATGGCAATAAGGACATTCTACTGATTGACTTCCTTTATAAATTGGTGTATATGAAATACCACATACAACGAAAGGGTTATATTGATCGTAGTCTATAGTGATTTCATCACGTGGAGATTTCTCAGATGCTGTTAAAATTTGTCGAGCCTAATATATATATATAATGAATAATGAATAATGAATATTTTTTTTAAAAAAATTAAATATAAAAAAAATTTTATTATTGATTTTACCTGAGTTGCAACAGCTGGAGGTGGTGCCAATTCTAATAACCTTCTAGCAAAAATCGAAGCTGTTATAGTATTTTTTGACCTAAAACTTGTTGTCATTGCTGATCGAAGACTTAATTGTAAATGTGTTGGTAGTAATCTGCAATGTGTAAAGTATGCTGCTAATTCAAGTCCTCTTTTGGTATCTTCAGGGTTATCTGGACGTTTCGGTCTTGCTTGCTCCAATGATAATCCAATTATATATTCACGACAAATTTCAACAAGTTGATTTACCTTATTAAAAAATATATATGTGCATATTTAATAATTTCTTTTTTAAAATAAATTAATATTTAATCATCAAGTTTTTTACCTCATCTACTTCACTTCTTTTAGAAACCGCAATAAATAGAATTGAATGTAAAATATTTTTAAATTGCAATGTAGCATCATGAAATTTGCCAGTAGTTGTTAATTTATAAGTTTCTTGTAATTGGTTTGCAAGTATTGTTTGTAGTGTATTTGAAAGGATTGGTAAAAATCTACGAGATTCCAACTCTTCTGGATTACGTCGAACATGGTAAACTAGAGGTGGTAATGACACGTTACAAGGCAAGTATGTTCTTGCTGCTTGGAATGTTTTCAAAAAATGAGGTTTTAAAGGCTCAAAATTAACAATGCCAACTTGTCTATTAAGAAGCTGATAAAATAATATAATTAAATATTTATAAAATTAAACTAATAAATACAAGTATAAATAAATAAATATAATATATACATACCTGCATGGCAGTTTCAAAGGATCCAGCTGCAATGTGATCTACGGCTAAAGGTGAATTATGAACCCACAATTCAGATTCTTTAGTACCCGAAGTTGGGGGCACGAATTCACTTTGTGCACCGTTAATAAGTTCTTTGCTATTTTCAGCGTCAAGTTGAACACTAAGATCATTATCAATATCCCATCCAGAACCTTCTTCTAACTGTTCACCATCACCTTGATTATCCACCGATTTATCTCCATCTGCAATGAATCCAAATTCATCATCGCCACCCCAATCACCGCCGATTTCCTCAATACCTTCTGTTGCATCCGTGAATGTAAGTGGTGGAACAAGCGAATTGTTATTAGTTGATGCAGTGAATGCAGTATCAAAGAATGAGCGTGAAACTGTCAATAATGGCCAGTTTGAATCATGTTGTCTAATTATTGGTGTAGAAGGTTTTAACAATTGACCATTTGAGGGTAAGTCAACGACATCTTCAGAAGTTAAACCAGCAGCAGTCAGAATTGATTCAGCTTCCTCTGTAAGACCATGACTTTGAGCAGTCAAGTATGCCAGTGGTACTATATGTAATATAAAATAAATAATAATTTTACATTTTTTTTCTTAAAAAAAGTTATTTGTAAAATTAATAAAAGGATTGATTTATACATTGACCAACTTCTTTTAATAGTTTGACACGTTCTTCAACATCACCCAAATAAAGTGAATTATGAAATCTTGACATATTATCGTTACGAATTTCGGCAATTTTTTGCATGTTCTTCAATTTATCGATATTTCCTGTTATTAAGTAAAGAAATGAAAGTCGTTCAAAATTTTTTACTCTTTGATATGCCATTTCCACCACCTTATAAATAAATAAATGTTATTTTAGTTTTAAAAAAAATCGATAATGATAATGATAATTAAATATTATAATACAATACAAACCTGATGGTTCCCTTGACGTAATGCTTCTTCTCCTAATTTATTCCAACAATCTTCACGATCCATAGTTTTTGCTGTTTCTAAGGCTACTTCGATGTTTCCGCATTCTATAGCAAGGTCAAAACGTGTTTTATCATCTCTTACAAAATGTAAAGCAATCTATACATATTTAAAAAATTTCAATACATATCACAAAAAAAGATAGATACGCAATTAAAGAACAAAGGAAAGTGCGAGGTAGATATTAACACATACCTCAGGATAACCTTTCTTTTGTAAATAGGCAATAATAGCTTGTCCAACAAGATTTGAATTACGAATAATTTGTAAAACTTCATCATAATTTCTTTTTATAAGTGAAAGTTTAAAACGATATTCAGTTGGATCAATTGTGATGACACGAGTTTTACCATCTCTATCAAGACAATGTACATTTTTTCCTTTTATTTTTGTCAAATAAATTGGCTGATCGAGTGTACGGATCGTACCACTATCACTATAAAAACAGCGTATAATATAAATACAAGTATAAATATATTATATATTGTATAAAGGTTTAATTATATTATTGTTCCTTTATGAAAAAAAATAATATTAAACTTAACATACCCTTGTGGAAGCGCATATTTAATATGATTTAAAGTGGAATATATAAAAATACCAGAGTCATCCCATGCACCACTTTTTATCCTTATAGTTTCATGAATTAAACGACTTTGTTCAAGAGTTTTATTTGCAATAACAATTGCTTTAAAAAAATATATATATATAATTTTGTCAGAATTTGTATATATGTGTGTGTGTTTGTTTGTGTATGAATTAAGAAAAATTTTTTCACATACTATGTTTGCTAAGCAAGACAACTTGATTATAATCAGACGACCATACAACATATTTTACAGGTGGCGTAGTGATTTCTGCTACAGATTGACGTTGTTGAATATCATAAAGAATAACTGAAGTAGGTGTGCTCATAAGTAAAAGGTTGCCACTTCCAGCACTGAATATATCATTCACAGTAGTTGGTGGTTTAATAGATTTGGTAGTAGAATTTGACAAATCTCGAATTTCAATTTGCTGCCAAAAAAAAACAAAAAACAATATCAAGTATATATATACATGTACGCATATATAAAAAAAATTACTAATTTCATTTAAAGATTACCTGATGTGTTTTGTCTAAAACAGCAAATCTATTTCTCGCTATAAAAACTGCAGATGTTCCTGGACCACGTTTTCCATCTCCAGTAAGTTCACGTGGTTCGCCATTTGAATTTTTAGGCAGATGAAACAAATCGAAAGTTCCACCGTCAACAGGCTGAAAGTATCATATATATCATTTACCATTAGCTTATTTAATAAAAAATATATATATATTATTGATAAATTATTATAATAATCAAATTAACTGACCGTTGTCACAATAACAGCTCTTTCAGCAGGATTGTATGATAATGATCTAGGTTGAATATATTGTCCACCAATCTTACGCAATGAAACTACTGAAGTATCTGATCCATTTGAAAAATCAAATGTTCGTAGATATTTTTCTTTAATATAGAAAAGGTTATTTTGATGAACTGCATATGCAGGACGCTCTCTTTCAAGTTTGAAGACTATAAGTCCATTATCATGACCTTAAAATTTGATAACGCAAGCATATTAGATAAATATCCTGTGTATATATAATTTCTAATTTGCAGTATGTATCTCTTACCAGCTGCAAAAAGATTTAACTCTGGATGTGCCGTTAATACCCAGAACCTATCATGCTCACGACGAAAAGTTTGAACAAGGGTCCTTTTTGACATATCCCAAATACGTATAGTTTTATCCTCTGCGTCTGATATAATCAATTCTTGCCTTGGATGAAATAATGCTGCTGATACATTATTATAATGACCACGACATGTATCAACTTCCCACGCCTTAGTATCTAATAATGATAGTAATAACATTTTTTGAAATTAACAATAATAATGATAATACAAATAATATATATATGTGTATGATAAATAAACATTCTAATAAACATCCTAATACCATTCATTCTCCATAATTTGATTTGACGATCATCGCCAGCAGATACAATTAATGGGAGAGTAGGGTGAAATGTAGCCCAATTGACACCACGATCATGTCCTTCTAAAACATATTTTACTATTGCATCAGTACTACCGAACATGTCTGCTTGAGCTGCTGTTGATCTTTGAAAACTATCTTCAAAAGTCATTGGACTTGGAGCAGCATTTTTTTTCCTTAGACCTAACCCATGATCAAGAATATATTAAAGTAAAAAAAAATCTATATTTTTTCTGTATTTTGTTTTTATATTTTTTATATTTTTTTTGAAACAAACCATATATTATATTTCAATTGGATACCTGAAATATCCCAAACTCTTACTGTTTGATCCAATGAAGCAGAAACAATCAAATCTTCTTTTGGGTGAAATTGTGCACACATCACATAATGATTATGACCAGTCAAAATTGCAATACAATTTCTAGATTGCCAATTCCAAATTCTAATTGTTTGATCATCAGAAGAACTAAGAATCCAGGGATATTCATGGTGAAAGAATACAGTACGTACATAATCCAAATGACCATTCAATGTGAATAAACATTTACGAGATTTATAATTCCATACTTTAATTTTATAATCATCGCCTCCTGAAACAAATAAAGGTTGTGTTGGATGAAATGCGATTCCTCGAACAGGTCCTATATAGTAGAAAACAAAGTCCAATTTGTTAAAAAATAAATACAATTCTGATTAATTGATGAATTGATATTAATGATTGATTGGTTACCATCATGTTCATCAAAACGTTCTAGTAGAGTACCCATTCGATAATCCCATAATTGAATGCAACCATTATGTAGTGAAGCAAGAATCCAAGGTCTTTTAGGATGAAATGCTATGCCTTTTACACGATTACTTTTTGATTCAAACTATATTATACAAATAAATAAATACATGCGTAAAATAAATTGAATCAAATATCAATATTATTTTTTCATAAGTTCTATTATAAAAATTTTACCTTTGTTAGCATCTGCATTTTAAAAATTAATCTTATTTATAATAAATAATTTTAATAAATTTTAGTTGGTGAGTTTTTATAATTTCAAAAAAAAATCTATTGGACGATCGAGAATATCACTACTATATAAAGCATTATATTTGTGTGCCCACTTTTAAGACCTTTTTTATACTCATCAAAAGTTTACGGGTGCTACAAAAAAAAATAAACCGTTAAAATGATGGATTGGGACTTCCTCTTTCAAACTCACGGTTTACTTTTTTTTTAATTGTATAATATTTGGGGAATTGATAGAGTTTACGGTGGTCAGTATTATTATTTCTGACGCCGATCACTTCAATTTCAGACCAATCTATGTCACGGGAAAGATAATCGCGTCTTTTTTTTTTTATTTACAACAAATTACCCATTTAAATCATTAATTATATTGTAAACCAAAAATAAAATAAATGCTACCAATTTAAAACAAAAAGAAGATATAAAATTGAACAAAGAATGCAGAAGGCAAAAAAGGTGTGTCAAAATGATAAAATTATTATAGATTGAATATGGCGAAGAAATAAATTATTATGATGGTTGGGGTGATGATGTGTATTAAAACTAGTAATATTAATATAGAAAAACCCAATCAAAAATCCGTTGTCAGTGTGGCATGTATTTATTAATAAAATCCATTGAGACAAATGCATATGTTTAATATTAATTAATATTATAAAATAATAAAAAGACAAATTACAGTCTAAGTTTTCTATACGTTACAAAGAGCTGAACGTCTTCAATCCTTGTTGGAATATGAGTATCAAAAAATACTAATATTAGAAATAGATTCTATACAATTCCAACTAACCGATAGTTGGGATGTCAAATCTGTGGAAGCTGCAAATGTATTGATTCATGCAGATGTAAAGCTACAACAAATTCTAGCTATACTTGCGATAAAAACAGTTCTTATATTTCTTCGTATGGGTAATAGACTTTTAGCATTGGTCGAAGAAAAAAGAATGACAGCTGCCAATATAACATCTGATTTAAACAAACTGAACATCTTAATCCTACGAATAATAATATTACACAAATAATAACTGCTGCTGCAGAGAAATCAATTAATAAAGTGACAACAAAAAATAAACAACAACAACAACAACAACAACAACAACAACAATAATTGACGTTCAAGGATTTGCCCATTGGAGGATTATTGATCAAACCTACTGGAAAAATTCAATTTCTATAGAGAAAGCTCATATAACAATATATCCAAATCATTTCACGATTCTGTTGTGTTCAAACAAGTTTTGATAAACTTTTAGTGGATATGAAAAGATCGATAGGTAATGGCGAAAAGATTAATAGATTGCTTGATATGAAAATTAATGGCATTGCTTTGTTAAAAAGTACATGTAAAAAATTAAAAATTGTAGATGAAAAATAATTTCATTTCAAAATGATTTAGTATGTTGAAGTAGCATCTAACAAATATATTTTTACTTTATCTACAGTGGACGACAGCAAAATCTATCAAGTGATGCAAAGGTGCGGCAAATTTCAAGTTTTAAAATTTATCACATGCACAAATTTTAGCCAATAAATTTCAAGAAAATAATTGTGATACAAGCAGTCTAACCAATAGAATTTAAGAAAATTATTGTGAAAATATCACGTGAAATTATTTTCGACCAATGAAATAAAGAGAATTTAGTAAATTTTATCAGGTGGCAAATTTTTGAAAAATTATATGAAATGTCACAAAAATAGTGAGATTCTAAACCCTTATACATTTGCTAGTAAGTTTAAATAAAAAATCTGGCTGCAACAAGTCATTCCCTGACTTCTAAATAATCATTCGGTGCAATTATTTTTATAAATGACCTGAGGAGCAGATACCATTTTTGATAAAGTCAATAAATAATAGTTGATGGTTTTTGCTGTCGTCCACCTCTAGCAATTGGATACTATACAGGGAATAGAAAGTAATGTTGTAGATCACAGATTTTCAGTAGATTTTAGTGGAAAGGTTAACGTTGCTTTAAATTTTGGACTAATTAGACATTATAGGAATTAAAAGCGTTATACAAAGAGCAACTAAAGAAAAGTCATGTTGGATTTTCCTTGATCACCAATTATGCCACTAATAAATGCATCATCATCATCATCAGGCAACACTTTTACAAATATAATCAACAACAACTGTTAATACCATCATCAGAAACTAATGTTTCTTCATCTGGTAAAGATGAGATGATGATGATGATGATACTACTACAATGAAATCAAATGAAAATAATCTTGAACCAAAAAATAAGAATAAATCAGATATTCAATTCAATCCAATAGAACCTGTAAAATTAGAACCACAATTATTTATTTTAAGTGATGAAATGCCACCATTAAAGTGGGCTGGTGTTCAACAGCAAAAATTTCGGGTTTGGTAGATCATAAATCAAATTACTAATGAATCTTTTAAAGCAGCACAAGCACTACTATAGTATTCATTATATTCAATTATTTAGATATTTGATAGATAAATTTTTTTTTGATTTTTAATTATATATTATAAAAATTTAATTTTGAATGATATTTTTTTGCAATGATAAGAAATTTTAACCGCTAGTAGTTCAAATTAAAAAGATACAATAGAAAATTTTTTAAATAATTGCCATCTCATCATCTATTTACCATCTATATCCTATTTATTTGAAATAAATATTATTATTTAAATTGTCAGTTAGCATTTTGAAAAAATAAAATTAATTATATTTACCATCTTTAATGGTTGTTTTTGTTGCTCTTTTAATAATCTCATTGATTTTGCAAATTTACCAAGTGGAGTGGAATCAGGACTTATATCTTTCAAAAAGGATCTCTAAATATTGATAAACAATAAATATATAATTAAATTATAATCACCAACAATGATAAATATTAATAATAAATGATTTACCAGTTGAGTTAAATTATTTGGACTGAAATCAACTTTTGAACGTTGTTGTTCAATATATTTGGAATTTTGTTCAAGCTTAGATAGATAAATAAACAAATAAACTAATTAATCAATATTATAAAATATTATTTGATTTAACAATCAAAATATAATTTTATTTTACCTTTTCGTTAAGTTGTTGTAATTGTTTGTTGAATTTAAAATTTGAAGAGTGCTTAATGTGACGTTTCAACTACAGGTAAATTTAATTAAATTAATATTAGAATTATTTCTAAATTAAAAATTTCATACACACATGCATACTTGAACGACTCCAGGTATTATCAATTCAGGAAAACTTATTGATTTACAAAAACAAGCATAATACTCTAAAAATGATTCAAATAACTCCTCGCATATTCCATCCTGATATGATCTAGTATGTAGATAATTCTTTGGAACCTTGAGAATGATCGAGAAATCTAATGGTTTCAAAGTGGATGGTCTTGGTGAACGTACAACTTCTTTTGATTGTAATATATCAAAAAGAAAAGTTGCCAATGGGATAAAAGTTCCAGTGGTTTTAATAAGATTAATTAATGAACGAATACAATGGAATCGAAGTGGAAAATATTCTACAGTTGAGTTTAAGCTATTAATTAATATTATTAATTAATGATTAATAAACTATTCATGTGTGTTAATTGATATATATATATAAACATACTTGATTACACCAATGGTAACTTGAACAAATGGATAGATTAATTCTTGTAAAGAAGATTCCCCTCCTTCGGCTATTCTTCTTTGATCACAATAAGTTCCTAAAATTCTTGACCAATATTCAATACAATGAATAAATTGCCAATTATATATTAATCTATGACTATCCTATTTGTTATTAATGATGGAGATTGTCATTAATAAATAAAGATTGTCATTTATCAATGCATGTATAAATATTAAAATATTAATTTAAAATTTGTTTATTCTGTTGCTATACCTTGCTCTTAACATTCATTGCGTTCCTGAGATTAATTGCTAACTGTCTTATATAATTGAAAGCTGATTGATATGAACTTTTGAAATCAATACCATAAATCTGAACTGCACAATTACCCATAAGATTAATAGATGGTATGGTAAAAGCTGTTGTCTCTTTAGAATTGCTGACAAAACTAGTATATACATTCTAAATAAATAATATAAATAAATAAATGTATGTATGTATGTATGTATGTATGTATGTAATTAGTCTATTAATAGTCTATCGATTAATTTATTGTATACTGCTTACTTTCAAACAAAAATCAATAAATGGTGGTGGTGCTAGAATTGCAAGTTTATGAATATTCAAAAAAATTAAAATTCTAGATTTATCATCAGCAAATCCCCAAATCTGTAAAACAGCCTTTAGATATTGAGTTGCCAATTTGGGAATACTTGCATAATAATGAAGAATTTTTTCAGACTCTTTTGCAAAAAAATTAATCATATTCTTATCTGTTAATTGTTTAAGAATATAAAGAACATTGTTTAGAAATGATTTCACCATTAGTTCAAGAGTTTTCCATTTATGATTAAAACATGGAAGTTTACTATTCAATAAATAAAAGTTGTATATATATTATGTAAGTATATATATTATGTGAATATGTATAACGCACGTGATAATAGAATTATACATACTTTTTTGATACATCAGTATCTTCCACCTTTAAATGATGATTGAAAACTCCAGGAATATATTTCATACATATTACAAGAAGATTATTAAATACTAATAATAATAACAACACCAGACAAAAAAATTTTTTATTGTTAAAATCAGAAAATTCAATGATAATTATTTCAATAATGTTATTTGAAAAAAAAACCTGTCGGATCAGTTATCTTATAAGAATAAGTTTTTTCGTTTTCATCATCATTAAGGTGAGCTGCTGCACGAAATGCAAGGATTAATCGATGTGTTGATTTCAAAGATTTTGACTATAAATCCAAATTTATTAATTTTTTTTTAGGAAAATATATATAATAAATACAAACAATGAATGAATATTACCTCTGTAATAGATTTTTGCCATTTTGTAATCATTTCAAATGTTAGGTCTGGTATATCATCATTGTCATCGTTGCTGATGTCATCATTATTATGATTGATTGATTTTTTGGATGAATTTTTTTCCTCCTCTTCATCTTCCTCCTCTTTTTCATAGTCATCATCCAACTTAATATTCAAAATTGCTTCTTCATCTGAATCATAATCATCGTAATCATCAGATTCGTCATTTGATTCATTAGATATATTTTCATTATCTAATTTATCATCATTATAGTTGGTTGTTTCCTCGGATGATTCTTCGTCTTCATCTTCATTTATATCCTCTTTCTCTTCTTGCTTTTCTCTCTTTGGTCTAATTTTAGCATCTTTTTTTTTGAACTTATCTTCTTCTTCAAAAGCTGGTACTTTTTGCTTCTTTAGTTTCTTTTTTTCTATGGATTTTTTTATTTTATTTACTTTTTGTCTCCTTTCTATTGTTTTTTTTAAATGTTGCTTTTGAAATTTCTTTGTTGATTTTTTAATTTTTGCCATTTCAAAAAAAAATTTTATTTACGTTTAGATAGATAAAATTTTTTAATTTACATTTATAATAAAATAAGAAATGATCGTCAAAAAAATATAAATTTTCAAGTCTCAAGTATTGAAAAATACAGTGATAATGGTAATAAAAAAACAAAATATTTTTAGCATTTTAGATCCATGTTTGTTTTTTAATCGTTTTCCTGCTTTAGAATCACTTTTTTATTGTCTTTTTTATTGTTTTTTATCATAAAAAATAGAACTCGATGTTCAACATTTTTTTCATCCATTCATGCGTATGGAGATGATGGAGTAACCAAATCCAAAAGTACAAATTAATCCTTCCTTTACTTTGGCCTTAACTTAATTGTTCAGGTTTTGTTTGGCGTTTAACTTGGTTTTCTAATTCTTGGGTTCTAACTTCTACGTACGGCGTGCTATTTCAAACTGCTCGAATTCTGGAAACCTGAAATTTTTTATTGCCACTGTGGCACAGAAAGTTCATGGCTTGTCTGTGTATGACTGGAGGTTAAATCGTTCTTAAAACACTTTTGTTTGGATTTTTTTTGAGTGTTAACACAGTTTCAAATATTCATTAATGTTAAAATAAGCATACATTGATTATAATACTTACTAGTTGTATTTTTATAAAATGGATCGTATTCTTTAATTGACGGCTATGTACATTATCTCATATATATTCTTCAGTATAAGCAGATTCTCATGGAGAAAGGAAATGACAAATTGTTTCATAGATTATCTGGTGATTAATTTTTCTGATATCAATTACTTATATTAACGCTTTTCATAGACTTACTGGAATCATGAAGTCAAAATTGGTTTTTACTATGTAATTGTTTCAATTTAAGCTCAAATAAAGAAGGTTTCATGTATAATTGCAATATCAAGGGAGCTTGCATTTTTGTTTATGAATCAAAATGGAGGAATAAGACCAAGATGTTTTAGAAGTATAGTGGCAGTGACGTGTGATTTATTTGAGGTTTTCTATAAAGTTATGGCCAACGTCTTGGAAATTCTTTTCCCTTGGTACTATATAGAGCATTCCTAGAATGTTCATTATTTTATTTTATTAATTTTATTGTTATTAAGTTAAATTTTACAAATTATTTTTTGTTTCTTTTTGCAATTGCCTAATTTTTTTAAAAAAAAAAAATTAGACATATATCAAATAAATATATTTATCATATTATTATAGTTAATTTTGAACATTTATTTAATACCTTTCTAACATTTAAGATATTCTTTGGACTTTTATCAACAATTTTATTTAATATATGTAAATTTGATTCTTTTTCTTTATTAACATCTCCAATATTTGATTCAAACTGGTAATTTATAAAAATGGTAAAAATATTAATTATCATATAATATAATTGTAATAATTAATAATATCAATAATTAAGTTACCTTTCTTTTAATACCCTTTAATTTTGGTTCATTATCTAATTGTTTTTCAAATTTACCAACACTGGCAGTTGAAGTTTTAGTGATTGCAATCTGTCGTTGTAATTCTAATCTTCTTGAAGATTTATTGTTACTACTATTATTGCTATTGATGATGCTTGGTGCTTGTTTTTGAGCAATTTCAAGATTTTTTTGTTGTTGTGCTTTATTTTTATTGATTCTCTCTTTTTTATCCTGACGTCTTTTATCAAATTGATCTTCATATGGATCTTAAATATATACAAATAATTCAAATATTATTTATTAAAGCTGATTATAATAATTATAATAATACTAGTAATAAAGATTTTTACCAGAATTATTAGGTACAGGTATTAACCAATCATTTAACTCCTCGTTATTAGCGCCTTTATAACCCCATCTAGGAACCCATTCATCTTTTACATCATCATAAACTTTTCTTGATTTTTTATATTTCTGTATGCCCTTCGATTTGGCAAATCTTTCCCATTTCGTTGGTGGTTTTGGTTTTGGCAACTATTTATCATACATGTTATTATGGAATTAATAATGTGGGTGATAGGTTGGATATGAAAACATATATTATGAATAAAATGCTAATATGAAGATAAAAATTTACAGGTTTTTCTCTCGGAATCAAGGTTTTTTGTTCGGGTAATACAGCTACAGTTCCATTATCTTGTGTTGATGTTAATTGTGATTTATATATATTATTTATTAACAATTGTGTATTATCTCTTGAATATTCTTTCAAGTAATTATTTGTGCCATTTCTTTTTTTTCCCAATATTTAAAAAAAAATTTTTTCAATAATGGAATTAAATCAATAGTAGAATAAATCCAAATATCTTAAAGTGTTTTTACTTTATTTTTGTCTCATCTAAAACATTTATATCATAGGCAGTCAATAATGCAAGATCGAAATCTAAAGGAATTGGCTTTTCAGGTACGGTTATTGGTTTACTGTAGGAGTTCGTTTAAGTGAGTATGATAAATTAAAATAAATAAATAAATAAATAAATAAAAATTTGTTTTTTAATGGCCTACAAATTTGAAGTTTGAGTTTCCAATTGTGAAGATACGTCCATAGTTGTTTTTTTTTTTTGGAAAAAAAAAAGTGATAATTTAAGATTTGAATTCAAAATTTGATTGGATAATCTTTGTCATTGGAAATGAAATAATTCGAAATGCGACGTGTGATTATCGGAAATTGGCAGATGTTAAAGCAAATATGCTGCTCTGAACACATTAGTCATTTTCAGCTTCCTCTGTACATAAGGCTAATCTGACCACATCCCCCAATGATACAATGATGCAACTGAATTCCAGGGAATGTATGGCCCTGGAGTTTTATCGAGACTGCATCATTGTCAATGATGTTTGAATCTTAATTTTCCCCAGACCAGTGACATGTTAGCCTACAATAATCCTACCTCTAGGGTAAAGATGGCTCTGTGGTAACTCTGGAGGTTGCAGCATTTGAAGAATTGTGTTATTAGGTGTGCATAAACATTCAGATCCATCAAAGCAATGAGAATCTGCAACTTGTTCCAAGCACAGGAAGTTTCAATTCAGAGTGATGTTGGTGACTTTGAAATTTAATTTGGGCACTGATGTTAGGAGGAAAGCTGTAAAATAAAATGGTTTAGATTTTGTTTGGTATGTTATATATTCTTTAATTTGTATTTGATCAACGGAATTTGTTATTTTTTAAATGGGGGCTTTTGCCCATATTTAGGTTGGATAAGTGTAGCTCAATGAGAGCATGGGCTGGAATTTTGTTTAATATGTCCATTTAAATTAATCATTTTCATAAATTCTTTGTTTCTTTAATTTTTATTTGACTAACTGAATTTGTTATTTAAATGGGATTAGGGTTGTTGGCGAGTAGGTGTATCACCAACAAAACAGTAACCCAGGACTCAAAACTCTGAATTCCAAAACAACAACCCTTGGAGAATTTTGAACCAGTTGTAGACACTGACTTTATTCTAGTGAGAGGGTATAACACAAAGCAATCATCATACAAATGCTGATCCTCATCAGTGATCAATGCCCATTTGGCAACAGTCAAGTCTGGTCTAATGGGAAGATAAAGTAAAGGTTTTTGCCCGCCTTATAAATAGCCTTCCAACATGCTTGTGGCTCCCCCGTGGAAAAAAGAAATCCTTAGTTATGAGGCATGTGAAACATGTTTGTGACAGGAAAATTAAATCTCATGCTTGTGATCAACATCAGATTCATTATTCATTTTAAGGAACTATACATTGGGAAGGAAAATCTTTTTTTTTGATCCTTCCTATTTATTCATTTATTTATTCAGAGATCTGGATAGACATACATTATTAAAAGTTTCATTTCTGGGTGGTCTTGGTATTACTACCTGGATGATGCAATTGTTTATTATGTCAGTGATAATATCAAATTTATAAACATTGTAATGGATATATGTGTGTATATAAAGGTATTCATGTTCAAGAAAGGAAGGATTAAAAAGGAATTAAAAGCCAAGTCATATTTATTTATTTTAGTCAGCTAAGATATATACATATTAAAAATACAAATAGAAAAATTGCCGAAGCAATTGCATAGAATCCACTCATCATCACATACACCTTTTTTTTGTTAGTACAGTATGGTTATAAAATCCAAATGATTTTCTTAAATATTAATTTAAATAATTTTGTAACCATACAGTACTTAATGCGCATATAACCATTCTATATATGCATCTAGTTTTTTTTTTGATGTATATATTGATTGATATTAATCATCTTTAATAAAAAAAAAAGAAGATTTTTCACGTAATTTCAATTCTTTGACTATAACTTTTTATAATTCACTAGATACCCAAAATCAAGCCTATTTGATTTCTTGATTATGCGAAAATGAAAATGTTAAAAACAAAAGTAACAGTGAGATACAACTAAATTGATAACTTGGTAAATTATAATTTATCATCATCATAATTATCATAAATTTGCTTTAGTGTTATTAACACTATTATTATTACTATAATAACAGTTGATTCAGAATTATTTGGTTATTTAAAAGGAACTTTATTAAATCATCAAATAACATACTAACGCTTTTTGAAAAGGTTCAATAATGATAAATTGTGCGATTTTGATAATAAACTTTTAAGTAGTGGTCGCCGATCAACGATAGATCTGGGATATTTTTCTTATTATTAAAATTTAGATCAAAAAAAAAATATTTCAAATTAAAATTCTTTTAATATTAATATTAACCCGTTTTGGTAGAATATAAATAATAATAAATTATTTTATAATAATGACGATTTCAATTATTGTCTATATTATATATGGATGGAGTCTGTACTAGGAAAATCAAGGTACCAGCTGTTTTTTTTTGTGACTTTTTATCAACAATAATCTCTAACACAAGAATTTATAAATTGGTGAGAGAATTGAACCTTGTTTGCATAGTAAAAAATGAGATACAAGGCTTTGAATATTTTCTCTATATATTAAAAACAGATTTTTGGATCAGTACATTAGTAGTTTTCTGCAGGTAGTTTCTAAATTTGTAGAAATCTGCATTAGTTACACATTGAAATTTATACACTGGTTGGAATGGAAAAACAATTTTTCCTAAATAGTAAAAGCAGTGTTGGAAATCCAGGGTTCGGAGGGTGCGGACGCAGCATGTTACATTAAAAATGTAGATTATTTTTATGTAAATTCGTTTTTGTCAAGACTTTTAATTACTCAAACATATCCCTTCAATTAAAATATATCTTATTATACCTCTTTCAAATGCTAATAATATTTTTCCAAGCAAAGTTGATTAAGAATAAAAAATGAATCTTGATACATTAAATAATCATTTAATGATTTTATTAAATGGACCTGAAATTGAAGACTTTAATTTTGAGAAAGCATGAGGATAAAAAAAATGGGAAGATAATTCATAGAACTATTTATTTCCATAATTTGTAACTATGAATTTGATTATATGGGGTCTGTACTAGGAAAATCAAGTTTTCAGCTATTTTTTTTTTTTGTCTCTAATAAAACATACGTGTAACCAAATTCATCAGGGTTGTTACTAAAAATAGATTTTTTGTCTGGAAGCTTGATTTTCCTAGTACAAACCCCATATGCAGATCACAAGTTCGTTGAACTTCCAACACTGAATAAAAAAGGATTGTAAAGGGTTACACAAATAGAAGGTTGTGGATGAGGGCTACTCTCCATTTGAATCTAACAAAGATTTACAATCAAATTGTCGTTTTAAATTTTTACAATTATTAATATTAAGAGTGATCTACTATCTTAACTGGTTGATAAGATGCTTTAACCGGTTAATATTAAATCTGACTTTGTTTTAGAAACTAAACAATACTTCAATATAAAATAATACGATTTTGTAATTTGTCAATTAATTTATTGTCATCTTTAAGACCAAAGTCTTTATAAATAATTAAAGCATTCTTTTTGGTGTGAAATTTTTTTTATCCCATCATTGTTTTTTTTTTAATAAAAAAAAATAAATAATAAGAATTAAAATATGTTGCTTCTTTTTTTAAATCTAGATTTCCTTATCAAGTTTTACATTTGTGGAACACAACATTTCATCATTAAGTGTGCAAACTTAATTCGTTCTTTTTCAATTATTTGCTCAATCTTTTCTTTTTGGTTTAAATCTATGACAATCAAAGATTCAAGACATTTTTTTTATAAATACATGGGTAAACTCGATCCTTTCACTCGATTGTTTAAAGTATTTATAATATAAATGGATGGCCAACTTATCGAAAATTCTATGCATGGTTAGTATTAGTAATAATCTTAATTGGTGAATAAAGAAATTCATGGTCAAATTATTTGCATAGGAATACAATCCATAATACTTACACATACAACAAGTACTGCACCTCAACTTGAGCTCCCTAATGAAAAACATTGTCCATAAAAATCGGCATAGTATGGTGCGGGTCACTCTAACATACCAAATAACTTTAAAGTTAAATGGGGAAATATTGAATGCTTGTTTGAAAAAAAAAATAGAGACAACATTTGAGATAATTTGCTTTTAAAAATTTCAGATAAACTTAAAATGTTTCAAATTTGAAAACTTTTATATGTAACATATAAAACACACGATTTTTAAAAGCATATGACCTTGAAACCAGTAATTTATCTCGACGATGGATTGTAGAACTAGTCAATAGTCATCAAATATCGTCTCTATTTTTTTTCAGATAAGATTTAAAGTTGATCAATTTTTTTTTATTTGATGTGTTGCACAAGAACATAGCACATTGTAAATCATTGATTTTCTTCTCGCTCCAAGATAACACAACTCAATTGGTGCTATAGAGGCAAACGCAATCAATTGGAAATGTTCTTTTGTCCCGATGAATCTAGGTTTGCAGTTTTTAACAATGATGGCCCAAATCGGAGATGAGAAAACATTTACCGAGAAAAAATTAAATTAAGATGCTCCTGTACACACACATTAGAAGATTTGAGGATCGGCCTTCACAGTTACCTGAGCCCAATAAAAAATATGAAAAACAGAGAAACCAAAAAGTAACAAAGCTTGATATTAACCTTTTTGTGCATAATTGTATATATGAAATTTTTTGGGGTGGTCCGTGACTTTTTGGAAGGAGTGCATAATAATAACATGTGAACTTTTTATTAGTTGTTATTATTGTATTACTTTATTATTATTATTTATTATTATTATTATTATTATTATTATTATTATTATTATTATTATTATTATTATACTCATTGAACCGTTTTTTCTTGCCAAGTTTTCACATTTCTCTTTTTGTTCTAGCAATTTAAAATTAGGATCGGGTCAGCAATTTTGGTCTGGTCAATGTTACATTAATAGATCCAATGAAAATGAGAGGAAACGGCATCATGGTTGATTACAAGCATTTTTTTTTCATCTTATTTTTTTTCACTAATTGTTTAAATATATTAAGTAATGAGTAGCGTACGCTATGTGATTTTTTTTATCTAACATTGAATCAATCAATTATCAAATCAATCAATAACACCATATATGGTTAATGCCTGGGAGCTTTTTCCACGTGATCTGTCATACAACTTGCTGTATATTGTAAAAAAAAAAAAGTATATAATGAAGTAAAACAGAAAAAAAAATGTTAACAAAAACGAATAAAAATGACAACATCCCAACCAACAGAATCCAATTTTCAAATTATCGATATTCGTGAATATACATTTAGTAAAGAATCATTAATTGAAGAAATCATTAATGGTTTAAATAAACCTGAAAATGTCATAAAAACCATTCCTACCTTTTTGTTATACGATGATAGAGGGTTACAATTATTTGATGAAATTACTCACCTCAAAGAATATTACCTAACTAATGCAGAAATCGAAATTTTGAAAAATGAGGCGGATCGTATTGTTGATCACATCAAAGATAATAGTGTGGTCATTGAACTTGGTTCAGGGTAATTTTTGTTTCATTATTATCCAAAAATTATTAAATTCATGTGATCGAAGGAAGATGTTAATCAAAGAATATTCTCGTTTATAACCATAATTGTTTAGATCGCTACGTAAGACCAAACTAATTCTTGATTCATTGGAAAAAAAGAAAAAAAATATAACCTACTATGCTCTTGATCTTATGGAATACGAACTTAAAAAATCTTTAAGTTCACTTGGAAATTACGAAAACATTAAACTTATGGGTCTTTGGGGAACTTATGAAGATGGGATCAAATTTATTAGTTCTTTAAGTGATAACAATAACTGTGCTAATGGTTATTCTAATGGCGATTCTAATGGTAGTTCTAATGGCGATTCTAATGGTTATTCTAATGGCGATTCTAATGGTAGTTCTAATGGCGATTCTAATGGTTATTCTAATGGCGATTCTAATGGTAGTTCTAATGGCAATAGTGGTGGTAAATTGTCTAAAACAATTTTATGGTTAGGTTCATCATTAGGAAATTCTACCAGAGAAGATGGAGCGGATTTTATCGTAAGGCTTCAAAATCAATCTATGGATCCTGGTGATTTATTTTTGGTTGGTATTGACAGAAAAAATGATCCTGATAAAATCAGAATTGCATATGATGACCCTAAAGGTGTTACAAGAGACTTCATTATCAATGGGTTAAATCATGTTAATACTATTCTTGGTCAAAAAAATTTCATTGATCCTAATGATTTTGAGTATGATTCATTCTATGACGAGATCGAAGGTAGACATGAATCTCATTATAAATCTAAGAAAGATATGACGTTGAAATATAATCACCAACGAGGAGGAGAAGAGAAAGAAATTGTAATAAATTTGAAAAAAGACGAATTGATCCATGTTGAATATTCATATAAATACGATGAAAAAAATCTGGATCAACTTTTTCATAAAGTAAGACTTTCTCATGTTGAAAGTTGGACAGATACACAATCTCAATATGACCTCCATCTGTTAAGTAAACCACCATTTTATTTTAGTCACGGTAGCGATGATGTTTCGTCGCGAGAATTTATACCAACATTAGAAGAATGGAAAGAATTATGGAAATCATGGGACACAATATTAATGAGTATGATCTCATCCAAAATGCTACTTGAAAAACCTACCGACCTTAGAAATCCACTTATATTTTATTTGGGACATGTTTCAGCATTTATGGATATCTATCTTTCCAAATATCACAATGAAAAAAATACTGAACCAAAAAATTTTATAGAAATTTTTAAAAGAGGTCTTTATTCCAATGCACATTCAGTAACACCAGTTGAATGGCCAGGAATTGATAAAGTTATAGATTTTCGTGATAAAGTTAGGAAAAGACTTGTTTCTGTATATGAACAAGTGCATGAAGGAAAAATAACCATGAAAAGAAGTTTAGGAAGAATGTTATCAATGGTATTCGAACATGAAGCTATGCATCTTGAGACGGTTCTTTATATGTTGATACAATCACCGTCTACTTTACAGCCTAAAGGAGTTGTGATACCTAAATGGAAAGAAGCGAGCACTCCAGCACCAGAACCTAAATTGACAACAGTTCCAAGACAAACTATTACACTAGGTCATGATAACGATGAATATAAAGATGATGAGCAATATGATTTGTGTAAAGAATTTGGGTGGTATAATGAGTCACCTAGAAGAGAAGTTAGTATTGAATCTTTTAAAATCCATTCAAGGCCAGTGACTAATGGAGAATATCTTGAATTTATGAGGGCAACAGTTAACAAAGAATACCCAGCATCATGGGTTCCAATTGATCCATCACTATTCGATTATAAAGTTAGAACATTATTCGGACCAATTAAAATGAATGTTGCAATGAATTGGCCAGTTATGTTGAGTCAAGAACAAGCATGTAAATACGCAGCATGGAAAAAGATGAGATTGCCAACAGAAGAGGAATTAAGCGCATTCTATGCAACACATAAATCATCATCATCATCATCACCAATGGACTTAAAATCAAACGTAGGGTTTAAGAAATGGCATCCAGTTGATGTGCCAAACAATAGTGATAAAATTCAAACATTAGGATCTGGATGGGAATGGACATCAAGTGAATTTGTTAAACACTCGGGACTTAAACCTAGTAAACTTTGTCCTGGTTATTCGGCAAATTTCTTTGATGATAAACATGTAATTTTGGGTGGCTCATGGTAAGCAAAAATCTTTTTTTTTATGAATTATATTTAATTTTTTGCTAGTAGTATATGTATATTAATTATATTTTTTTTATTTTGAAAAAAAAAAATAGGGCAACACATCCTAGACTAACAAGAAGCACATTTGGGAATTGGCATCAAGGAATTTATCCATATGGATTTTGTACAGTAAGGTTATGTCAAGTATAAATTTATTACTCTTAGAGCTCCGGGTGAGCCAGCCCGTCTTGGCTCGTGAGTCAAATAAGATGTGAAAATATTATTAAGGCCGCACACATATACAAAGAACTTGGCTTGGTTCAGCTCGTGAGTTGACCCGTTAAGAGCAATAATTATTTCCTTTTTTTCAAAATAATTTTTTTATTCTTTACGTATATTTATTTAAAATTTTATTAAAAAAAGAAAAATTTTTTTTTTGTTCAATGGTTTATTTATTATATACAAAAGATTTTAAAAGGGCAGAGTGTAGTCATGTGATTTTATATATGATCGACGAGGATAAATAATTCCCGAACCTCTTTTAAATCGCTCGCTACACAGCATAGTGGACACTGTTGCAGATCAAATGTGACAAAAGTGACATTCAATATCTTATGCTAATTTCAATTGTTTTATAGAAAAAAGGAGTGTATGTGAAAAGAAAAACTGGATGGAAATAAATATTTGTTATTTTGTTTTGGAGTAAAGTCTACACACATATTTGAAATTTACCAATCTTTAATTAAATCATAAGCATTTTTAAAGTCTAAAGCAATTATATGTTCTTCAGTTATATCTTCCTCCACTTCTTCATCTCCAGTTACACGTGATTATTATACTTCATTCAATGAATCAATCAAATTTTCCTTTTTTTATAAAATTTCAAGCAATAGTACATTGATTTTTTTTCATTCCATAACAGGTATAATTGTAAATTTTGTTCCAGCAGGTGGAATAAAGCCACATTCATATTATGGGTCAAATGCAAGAGAATGGAGAGTATGACTAAATTGATTTACTACCTATTGAAGCCTTTGAAGCATTTGTAATTTAGTAAATTATAATTTATTATCATCATAATTATCATATATTTGCTTGTGTTATTAACTCTATTATTATTATTATATCTGTAGTTTATTGACAACAGTTGATTTTGTAATAAGCAGATGTTAGGTTTTTGGATAATACAGTGTGTGTGGCCAAAAACTTAACTTTACTAATTCGTCATAGATTCATGAAAGTCACATCAAACCCAATGATAAATATACCATTTAAAAGCAAAAAAAGTTACAGAATGAACTTTATTAGACTTAAAAATTGATTTGTTTGCCATTACTTTCAATAACCAACTCACAACAGCATTTCATTGAATTTAAAACCAATTTTTGAATAGAATTCCATTCCTCTGTCAAAAACCTCTCCAAATCATCTGAATTCATTTTTAAACATTGTGTTTAACAATGGCCCATAAGTTTTCTATGGGTTAAGGTCAGGACTACAAGAGAGCCAATCCATAACCTTAGGCACATTATTAGCAAGAAATGATTTAGCTACTTGACTTGTGTGCTTGGGATTGTTACTTTGCTGAAAGCATCACTTCTCTCCAAGATGATTTTTGAGTATTTTAACATAAAATTCACCATCCATTATCTGCTGGAAGCAAAATAAAGGCACAAAAACCTTCTCAAGCAATAATTTTTTGACATACAATGAAACTGGTTGTTTATCTTTATATCAACATTCAATTTAAAGCTCCAAACATATCAATGAAATTCAAACTGATTTGAATTGAATTGAATCACCTAATTTTTAATTTGAATCAGTTCAAATCAAATTCGAATTGTATTCTGATTTGATTTGAATATTAAATATATATAATTCAATTCAAACTGATTCAATTCAATTTGATTTGAACCGATTTGAATATATAATTTGATTCAAACTGATTCAACTCAACTTGATTCAAACTAGTGATGGTGGCTGAAGCTATGCTTAGTGTGTCAAAATTGCCAAAATTAATTGGCCTAAACTTTGACGAAACTAATTTTAATGGCTGAAATTGTGAGTTTTTAAAATAAAGTAGATTGATTTAGATACTTATTATATGTATTGGACAAAACTATCTTTTTTCAAAAACAGTTTCGGCTTTATCAATTAAAAGATTTAAAATATACTGTGAGTGTGTGATCTAAGTTACTCACTTACCAGGTAATTCTTATGTTTGGCACACAGCTGGCCCCTGAATTACAGCCTATTGACCCTAAGCCCAAATGTCTGGTTTTCTTAGAACCTCTGATTTACAGTTGATTTCACTATCTTACAACCTTAGTCTAGATAGCCTACCAATGGCACATGTCTGGTTTTCCTAGAACCTTCAATTTACAGCCAATAACTCTTTTATCTTAAACCTGAAGTCTGGATAAAAGATCCCTAAGTTGTTTAACTAACTATATCCCAAAGGCGTCCCTTTGATATGTATCTGGATAATTGAAAGGGTTCCCAACTAATAATTAAAGGTTGGCCAGACCATTAATCATTAGAAGGGCTGGGGGTTAATCACACTGGGTTTATTAGTTACTTATAGCAGTCAGGATTTTTTCCAAATTTGGAATTACCAAAGATTGCAATGATCAACATCCTAAATAGTAAATTTGCACTATGTAAAAATTTGATTGGCTGAAATTCCGCCTTTTTCTCCTTTTCTTTTCTCAAAAACTCACATAATATGAAAACATTTAACTGTTCATAGAAGGTCTCATGGATGTGTTTTCCATAATCCATCAAAAAACCCAT